TAGCCCCATCTCTCTCTGCATCTAGCCCACAGGCTACACGTCCACCATTCTGAAGTGCTTGCAGCTCCCCAAACAGGACAAATGACCAGGAGCTCTGCCCCTGTGCACCTGCCATTCCTTCCACCTGGAATGTTCTGCTCTCTGGCCAACTCCTCTTCCAGGTGCCAGCTAACACCTCCAATTCTCAGGGAAACTTTCTTTGTACTCGCTACACACAGGAGAGGGGCACCTGCTCTGTGCTGCCGCTCATCACCCTGAACCCTAACTGCCCATGTACTGCTGATCTCCCAACCCCGTCCGGGCTGGCCACCATCCCAGCCTCTGTGCTCAATCAACATTGGTTGAATAAAGGAATAAACAGTTTTGTATTCTGGATAGGGGAGCAGTCCACTCTCCTCAAAGCACAAAAACTCCCTGAGGACCTGCTCTTGGTACTACCATCACCTGGATAGATACAGCTGTGCAGGCAGAGCCCTCAAGGGAGGGCTGGGACCGATGGGGAGAGAGGTGTGGGTGTGTGTGAGCGTGTGTGCATGTACGTGCATGTGTGTGTGGTGAGGTTGTTCGTGGAAGACAAATTCCAGTTTAATGTAAAGAGAGGCTTTTTCTTTCCAGGCAGGGTTGGGGGTGCCTAGAGAGAAATGAGCTCTGGGGGTGTGTGCGTGTGTGCAAGTGGGGATGCTCACCAGATAGGATGGCTACTCAGAAATGCCTAACAGTCAGTCCCCAAGGTTCCTGGAAGACACCCCCTACTCCTACTACCCCTCCCACCACACCCACACTCGTCTCCCAGAAGAGTCCGGTGGGAGAGCGCCCAGAGAAGGACAGAAAGGCCTCTCACCTCTCCAGGGGCCGGTGCAGCCGTTTCCAGCCCGGGTAGGCGGCTTTGGCCTCGGTGCCGCCGCCAGTCACGCGGGCCTGTTTGGCGGCCTGAGCCGAGCGCGTGTCCAAGATGAAACCCCAGGCCCCAGGGCGAGCCCCCGCCAGCGCAGCTCGCAGCAGCTCCTCGTCCTCAGCGCAGCGCCTTTTCTGGGGACCAGTCAGGGGCTGGCTGGAACGGAGCAGCACCTGCGGACGGGGACTCCACTCCGGAAGCCATAGCCACCCAGCCCCGGCCCGGGGACGTCGCTCGGGGAGCCCCTAGGGAGGGTCTACACACTAGGGCGGGTCCAGAGCCTGGCAGGGGCGGGCTGGAGCGCAGAGACCCTAGCAGCGGAACTTACAAGGCGCAGGGCCCGGGCTTGGGTGGGGTGTAGCCGGAGGGGAAAGGGACCCGAAGAGTAGACCTTGGGCGGATCCAGGGTTGACAAAGACCGGACTAGGCTCCAGGAAGCCGAACGGCCGGGGACGGGGCCCAGATTGGCAAGACTCCGTATTGGGACAGAGGGGCGGGGTCAGAGTCCGGGGAGGGCGGAGGGAACGGAGGGGGCGGGGCCCGAAAGGGCAGCAGCCTAGGCGGCCCGCGCGCCGCGAATTGGCCGGGCCAGTGCAGAAAAGGGCCAAGAAGGGACGCAGTTGTTCCTAGTGGCGGAGTCTGGGGACGGGCGGGCTCACAGTTCCGCTGGGAGCGTGGTGGTAGCTGAGAACAGGGAAGCGGCCTCCCTGGCGGAAGCGGGCGCAGCGCGCCAGGGCATCGTCGTCTACGGCGCGAGGCACAATCACCGCGCGGGGGTAACTGGGGCACAAGCTGAAGTCCTCGTTCACTTCGCTCAGCCGCCACGCGTTGGTCTGCGGCGCACGGAGAGGCGAAGGCCAGGTTAGGGCACTCAGTGAGCGCCCGGTCCTCACGCCCCTTCCAGGCCCGGCGCTCGCACAACCGCGGGCCCCCACCACCGCACCCACCTCGCGAGCTACTCGCTTGTAGTAGCGTTCGGGTGGGTGGAAGTGCCAGGCGTCGCCCAGTCTCAAGCCCTTGGGACGGTAGAAGAACGGAAAGGAAGTGATGACCGATTCCAAGGACGACAGCGCCTGGGGAAGGAAGTCGGGGGATCCGGGCAAAGTCGAAATCTTCTCACCCGCGCGCTCCCGGCCCCTGCGCTCCGCAGCTCCCTCCTCTGCACGTACTCTAGACCTCCCTGCATCCCTTGCCGTTAGCTGTGTTCCAGGATAACGCTGGATGCTGAGTCTCCCTGCGCAGTAGCCCCTGTTTACTCCCGTCGTTATGAAATAAGGGTAGCTTAAGGGCCTCGGGAGCACCGCTGGCGTACCTCGATGGAACGGGCGATGTCCAGCGTGGCTTCCACGCCCTCTATGTCCAGCTGCAACACTCGCAGGTCCTTACAGCGCAACGTGATGGTGCCGGAGTCACCCGAGACCCTGGGGATGGACGGGCTTAGGCTTAGTATCCCCCGCCCCCCACCAGCGGAGGAGAAACGAGTTTATTAGGATTGGACGCAGTGCAAGGGGGCACCAGTTCCAACCGCGCTTGCCCTTCCCCCTCCTCCGCGGAGCCGCAAGCTCCGCAACTACGGGGACGCCCCCGCCACGTCTCACCGCTTCTCGATGGAGTCTACCCTACGCAACAGCAGCAGCCACAGGTCTGAAGTCGCCTGGGGCCCCGGCGACAGCAGCAGGTGGTGGCCGGTGACGCATAGCGTGCCACGCAGTGGGGGCGCCTCCGGACCCCGCAGGAGCTTGGCTTGGGCCCGGCCGGTACGGATCAGCTCCGAGAACTCCATTCCGTCTGTGGTGGGCCTGGGGCCCAGCAGAAGGACAGACTCCCGGAGCGTCAGGCGGGGCGAGCGCGGGCTCCGAAAGGGACAGGAACTGGCTGGGCAGCTGGCGACGCCGGCAGGACAGCTGTTAAGGAGGCCCCTTGGAAGAAGGGATCGAACAGTTTCACAGGAATTTTCCCCTCCTACTGCCAGCACCTCTGAGCGAGGACCCCGGCCAGAACCTGTGAAGGAAACCTCAATTTCATCTATCTGTGAAATGGGGAGAATAATCTTGCTTAAAGCCCTTTACCTCGTGCCTTGGTCTCAGGTGGCAGTCAACATTTTTGTTTTGTTTTGTTTTTAACTAGGTGCCGGCACTCTCACTGACTTAGAAAAATTACCGTCTCTTCTTTCGTACCCTGGTGGCAGGGGTGGAAAAGGGTAGGTGTGAAACTGGGAACTGAGTGCTTCCTCCCCCTACATCTGAGGCTGGGTGGGGGAAATCCCTTAGTCCACCTTAAATGCAAGCAGCTGTGTAGCTGGTGCCCCTCCCCCACCACAGCTGGAAGTCCCTGTCTGAGGGCGCCCTCTACGGGGGCCACTCCTGGCTTAGTCCTGCCCTCTCCTCTCACTATGACTCCATCCTTCAACCAAATATGAATTGCCCATTCACCGAGCTGGCCCCTGTATGGGGACACAAAGATGACTGAGGAAGGTTCTGTTCATTAGAATTTTCCGTCTGGCAAGAGACACACCCAAGCTGGTAAACTACAAGAGGTGAAAGGATTTACTGGAGGACCCATCCATCCATCTATCCATCCATCCAATTTTTCTTTCATTTCTTTTTTTTTTAATTCTTTCATTTCTTAAACACTGATGCCTACACTGTGTTAAGTGCTGATTACTAAGAAGAAGAAGACAGACACCTGCCTTCAAAGGGCCTTTTGGTGCACTAGGTTCCAGGTTTGTGTGGGTGTGGGTGTGCGTGTGCGCGCGCACACACATGCAAAAGCCTTCTTTTAAAAAACACACACACAAAGAAAAGAAATCATAGGTGGACACCCATAACATAAACATAAAATTGGAATGATCTGTGAAAGGAACCAGACAGAAAAGAGTATGAACTGGGGGCGCCTGGGTGGCTCAGTTGGTTAAGCGACTGCCTTCGGCTCAGGTCATGATTCTGGAGTCCCGGGATGGAGTCCTGCATCGGGCTCCTTGCTCGGCGGGGAGTCTGCTTCTCCCTCTGACCCTCTTCCCTCTCGTGCTATCTCTCATTCTCTCTCTCAAATAAATAAATAAAATCTTAAAAAAAAAAAAAAAGAGTATGAACTGTAAAATTCCAGACCAGCTGGGATGGGAATTCATTAGAAATGCAAATTATCAGCCCCACCCCCCCACCGCCACGTGTCTCCTTAAATACGTTTTCCAGGAGATTTCCACGCACGCTAAAGTTTGAGAACCAGGGCTCCTGGGTGGCTCAGTTGGTTAAGCGTCTGTCTTCTGTCTTCGGCTCAGATCATGATTCCAGGGTTGAGCCCTGCTCAGCAGGGAGTCTGCTTCTCCCTCCCTCTGCCTCTTCCCAGCTTGTGCACGTGCTCTCTCTCTGTCTCTCTCTCTCTCAAATAAATAAAATCTTAAAACCCCAAAACACATTTAAAAAAATAAAGTTTGAGAACCATTAGGAAGTACACAAAAAGGCAAACTAATCGTTGCTGTCAGAGATTGGGAGAGTAGTGACAGGCCAGGGGCATTCCTGGATGCCCGTAATGCTCAGTTGTTCCATCTGGGTGCTGGGTACACAAGTGGGTTTAGTTTGGGAGAATTCAGCAAGGCTTGTCATTACTTATGATGTGTGAAATTTTCTGTGTGTCTGTTATTTTTCAATACAAAGTTTAAAAAAGGGAACAGCTCTGGTTGAAGCCCTGGGAGGGGCAGGGAGAGGGAGGGTCTAGGAGCCCATCTACAGCTCTGCCCTTATCCCATACATAGTCCTTGAGGGATTTCCAAGGGAACCTAAAGGTCCTTAGAGTACAGCTTGAAATCATTGATCTGTCCCAACAGAGAGTCCATGACATGTCCAAATGTCATGAGGACAGAGGGCAGCTCATCAGCCTTCTATCCATTCCCCACGCCCATTAACTTGGGTCTTGGGAAGAAGGCCAAGACTCTAGTGTGGATGATGCTTTTCTCATCCTGGAGCAACTTCCTTTCTGGGAACAGGGTGTCTCCTTTTGGGCAAAGACAATAAAATTCATCCAAGGGGCCGGAGGAGCAGGCTCCTCCGGCCCCCATCCGGATGGCATCACGTGGCTCCCGGGTTAGCAGGCCAGGAAAATCCCAGCCCTTGCACACTCGGCCTCCCATACCTCTCTATTCACCCACCCTGACACACTCAGCCTCCCTGACCCGCCTTGAACATTCACCATCACACATTCCCTGGCACAGTTCTGTCACCCTCGGCTCCTGCCGCCACCCCCCAGCCATACTGCCAACCTTTCCCAGAGCTGCAGCCTTGCCCCGTCACTCACCCCAAACCCACCATGTCCCTGGGCCCACTGGAATTCCAGGCAGTGGGTGAAGAAAATGAAGAGGATGAGGAGGAAGAGAGCCTGGACTCTGTGAAGGCACTGACAGCCAAGCTGCAGCTGCAGACGCGGCGGCCCTCATATTTGGAGTGGACAGCCCGGGTCCAGAGCCAGGCATGGCACAGGGCCCAAACCAGACCTGGGCTGGGGGGCCCTGGGGCCCTCTGCGGCTTCGACTCAATGGACTCTGCCCTTGAGTGGCTCCGACGGGAGCTGGTGAGTCGGGTGGGGTGGGCAGTCATCCTTAGGACCCAAGAACCAACCGTGGGTGTGGGGAGGGGTGAGGGTGGACCTCGCCTCCAGCAACTGCCCTACTCCTGTGGCTTTGTCCTGGGGCTAAGGAGCCATGAATGAACTTGTCCAGCGATTTATTCAGGGAGGCTTGCTGAAGCAGGATTCCATCCAACCTACCTACTACAGACTACTCCTGTGGCTCTGGGGACAGAGCCCTGCCCTTTGGGGCCACCAGTTATAGATGGGGAAGGCATGGTCTCCCCTACTCTGGGAATTGCTATAGCTCAAAGGGGCAGTGCAGGACAAAATGAGGCACTGACCACACTGTAGGCAGAATCTGAGAAGGCCAGCATTACGCAGGTGGCTCTTAACCCAATATGTGCAAACAAAAGGATGTCTAGCCTCTAAATTGGAGACTGCTGTTTAGTTGGCCTGCAGGCACCTGTATTTGTGTAACAATCCCTCCTTAGCTTTAGGGCAAGATCTGAGCAATGCGGAGGGATCCAGCTGGGGCGAGAGGGGGTGGGGAGGACACAGCCGGTGCAAAGACCCAGGTGTTGACAGGAAGGGAAGACCGACGCGAGTGGCGGAGGACGAGTGCGCAGTCTCACGCCCCCTCTCGGCCGCAGCGGGAGATGCAGGCTCAGGACCAGCAGCTGGCGGGGCAGTTGCTTCGGCTGCGGGCCCAGCTGCACCGGCTGAAGGTGGACCAAGCCTGTCACCTGCACCAAGAGCTGCTGGACGAGGCGGAGCTGGAGCTGGAGCTGGAGCCGGGGGCCGGCCTCGCCTTGGCCCCGCCGCTGCGGCACCTCGGCCTCACGCGCATGAACATCAGTGCCCGCCGCTTCACCCTCTGCTGAGGGCACCTGCGTGCCTCCTGAGACCTCCTGGGAAGGAGGAAGGGAGGGGTGCCTCAAAGGCGCCAGCACCTGGCAAGGGATGGTGGGAGGGTTGGGGGGGTCACTCAGTTCTCTGGGAGTATAAAGCCCCAGCATCCTGTCACCCCTGCTGCCCTAGCTTGGGGAGGGGACGTTGGAGGAAGGGGAGAAGCTCACAGACCCCCCCCCAAAGCTCTTCAATAAAGGCCCGCTCTGCTTCCATCAAGGTCTCTGCAGTCATTTTTTCAGGCCCAAGGTCGCTGCGTGTTTGTTATCTGTAGCTGGGGCCAGGGATTCCACTGCAGGAGAGAAGGCCTGGGTTGCTGTGGAGATGAACAGATGGATCCCCATCTCTCCCCCAGCTCCAGCACTGTATCCCTCTCTTACCAAGTTCAGAACTGGGCAGGAACTTGAAATTCTAAATCACCCCTATGGCAGGTGATAGGTCAAGGGGCAGCTGAAGAATGCAGGACCTGGTAGACCTGAGTTCCAAGCCAGCTCCGCTGTGCATTTCTTTTCTTTTTTCAGAATATTTTATTTATCTATTTGAGAGTCAGAGAGAGAGAGAAAAAGAGAAAGCCCAAGTAGGGAGAGGGACAGAGGGAGAAGCAGACTCCCTCTGAGCAGGGAGCTGGATGTGGGGCTCGATCCCAGGACTCTGAGATCAGGACCTGAGCTGAAGGCAGACAGGTTCACTGAGCCACCCAGGCGCCCCTCCACCACACATTTCCATCAGACCTTGAGGAGGTCCTTGCAGCTGTTTGTTTACCTCTCAACGGGAAACGCTACTATGCTACTTCTACTCCACAAGTAGTTGGGGATGTCTTCAGTGAGACAATGCTTAATAACACTCAAAACCGGGGAGCCTGCGTGGCTCCGTCGGTTAAGCGTCTGCTTCTCCCTCTGCCCCTGCTGCTCCCCTTGCTTGTGCTCTCTCTCTCTCTCTAACAAATAAATAAATAAAATCTTAAGGGGCACCTGGGTGGCTCAAATGGTTGAGAGTCTGCCTTCAGCTCAGGTCATGATCTCCAGGTCCTGGGGTCGAGCCCTGCATCGGGCTCCCTGTTCAGAGGGAGTCTGCTTCTCCCTCTGCCTCTGCCTCTCCCCCCGCTTGTGCTCTCTCTGTCTCTCTCTACTGAATGAATGGAATCTTTAAAAATAAATAAATAAATAAATAAATAAAATCTTAAAAACAAACCAACACTCAAAACCCACAAACTGCCTCTTGCTCATCCTTGCCCTCACCGGTGGTAGCAGTACGGCTGTGCGGAGGCCCAGAGATGGCAGGGCAGGGCTCTGGGTCACTCTGTGGGTTTTTAACATTGTATCTCCTCAGCCTTTGTTTCTCTAGTACTGCTTTGTCTGACTTTCCAGCTCAGGCTTCCTCTTCCCCCCACCCACTTCCTGTCTCCCCCTTCCCTCTGCAGCTGAGGTGCACAGAACATCAGCTTCCACCTCACAAACCCCAACAATGCTCTGTGGGCTCCCCTCCCCCAACCTGCTCAATAAGTGTAGGCTCCAGTGGTGGTAACTGTGACACATTTATACTTTCCTGGGGCCGGCGGGGGGTGGGGGGGTGGGCAGGGCCCAGCTCTGATGCCTCATAGAAGCCACCCAGGGTTCCTCATAACACTGGCGACCTGGCCCTTAGCCTATGATGGGTGCCACCCTCAGCCTGGCCCCAAGGGAAAGGGAGATTCTGGGCCTGCTTGCTGCCTGTGACTAGGTTCCTGTCTCCTGCCTCTAACAGAAAGGCCTACCAGTCAGCTGCCTGCACCTGGGTGCCCGGGCAGGAGTGTTTGTCTTGTCTCTCACCTGTTGCAGAAGATGGTGGCAGGGGCGCCTGGGTGGCTCAGTCGTTGAGTGGCTGCCTTCGGCTCAGGTCATGATCCCAGGGTCCTGGGATGGAGCCCCGCATCGGGCTCCCTGCTCCGCGGGAAGCCTGCTTCTCCCTCTCCCACTCCCCCGCTTGTGTTCCCTCTCTCGCTGTGTCTCTCTCTGTCAAATAAATTTAAAAGAAGAAGAAGAAGAAGATGGTGGCAGGCCCTACATTTCTCGCAGGGGCTGTGGCTTGCCTCTCCCTGAATTAGAAGTCTCGCTCTAATTAGTGGGTGTTACCCTGTCCTCTGCCCACAGCAGGGGCTGTAACTCGGTAGTCTTGAACGGGGTTCAAAGGGGTTGTCCTGCCTGCTTCCTTAAACAGCTTGCTGTCTAGCATTCTGTCTCTAAGGAGGGTGTTCGCTACCCTCTGACTCTAAAAAAGTTACTGTCCCTTGCCCTGAGATGACATGACTGTCGTTAGGCCGCCATGTTAGCCTGACATCTGACTGTAACATACGGTGTTTGGCTCACCAACTATTTAGCAGGGAGAGTGTTCTCTCCTCTGACTCTGAAGTGGGGTTATCTTTGCCCTCTCTAGACTGTAACGAAAGGGTCACTCAGCTTTCAGACCGTGACGGCAGTGCCACTTGTCTTTCACCAAAAGCTGAGTGTATGTCTGCTTGCCCCTTGCTCACTGGGGTATAAAGGCTGCCCTTGAATCTCTCATCCAGGTGCGCCCTGGGGGGCAGGAGGGAGGTTCCATTAAAGATCCTCTCTTCAGCTCCAAGTGCCCCCCCTCAGGAGAGATCTAGGACCCCCAGGGGCTGAGGAGTGGGGGGCTATGGCAGCAGGAAGCTTGGGGTGCTGGAGGCTTGTGGTTGGGCTGCTGGGGCCCGGTTGGCTGCAGAGCCCTCAGGAGGAGGCAGGAAGTCAGGGTGGGACGTGGGCGCGCTGAGACAGGAGGTGGCTACCTCAGCGAAGGGAGCCGAAACTGTGTGTGAGCAGCCAGCCTAGGCCAGGAGGACCATGTGAATGGGGCCAGGGGGCTCCTGGGCTGGGCAGGTAAGGAGTACTGGGAACAGGGGTCTAGGGACTGCGGTGGGAGGCCCGGCAGCGGGGGCTGCATCTGGACATGGGGCTGGGCCCCTGGGTATTCAGCAGCCCTACAGGCTGGGGGAGAGAAAAATCTTGCAGGAGGTCAGGTGGGTGGTAGGCAGTGCTGCTGGTAATGAGTAGCCTTACCTGAGTAGCCGTTGGTTCTTGCCCCTGCCACACTGACCGCCACCGGTCCCTACCTCGCTGGGAGCCTTTTCTTGGAAATCTGGCACATGGACTGTCAGGTATTAAAAAGGCCTTCAGAAATCCCCAAGTCCAGGGGCGCCTGGGTGGCTTATTCTGTTAAGCGTCTGCCTTCAGCTCAGGCCATGATATCAGGGTCCTGAGATCGAGTCCCGCGTCGGGCTCCCTGATCAGCAGGGACTCTGCTTCTCCCTCTCCCTCTGCTTCTGCCCTCCCTCCTAACCCCACTCGTGCTCTCTCTCTCTTTCTCTCTCTCAAATAAATAAATAAATAAAATCTTAAAAAAAAATCACCAAGTCCAGTCCTGATCCCATGATGGATGAACCTCCTGAGGCCCAGAGAGGGCAAGCCCTCCCTCCCCACAGTCACTCAGCAAGGCAGAGGTAGAGCCAGTCCCTGGGAGAAGGTGATGGCCTAGGCTAGGACTGCCCCCCATCCATGGGGCAGGGTGATGGTCAGGCTTGAGTCCCGGGACCCAGGAATCCTACTGATTGCTGGGGCAGATGCCAGTGACAAGAATCTTCTGAGTGAGAGAGAGAGAGATTGAGAGAGAGAGAGGAATCACCAAGAACATCCGGACTGACACCTGAGAAGTGATTTTAGGCTCGGTGACCAGCAGTGCTGGAGAGGTGGAAGTGTCTTCTTCTGGAAGCAGATGGATATGTGAGGGCATGTTTATCATCTGGGTTGGGGCCTCCAGGGCGGAAGTATCTGACCGCAGGCTGGGTAGTTGAAGGACAGAGAATGGAAAGGGAAGGGCAGAGGAAGGGCTATTTTTAACCGAGACAGGGGTGCAGTTGGCCCTGGGCAAGGAAAGTCTGCACTTCCATCTGGAAAGTTGCCATTCCTGCCCCTGCCAAGTGTCACAGGTTGCCCCCTCCACTTGGTTCTTCTGGCTTCCATACCACCCCCCTCAATGCGTGTGTAGGACCAACTGGTCTTGCTGTTTGCTGCTTCAAACCCCAGGAAGGTGGAGGCCCAGGAAGGCATAGTCAGCTATCTGCCCACCCCCTCACTTTCTTCTGAGCCTTCAGTTTACGGGGGGCATCCCCATGTGAACCAGACTTTCCAGGTTTCCCTTGCCCTACCCTCTGCCATTGGAGTTTTTCTTGACACACAATTTCCACCTAGTCAGCATGTCCCAGCCTTTCTCTTGTCTCCAAGTCCAAGGCCTGCAGCCTTTTGTGGGGGCCGGAGAACACACTGTCTCTCCCTGTGCTTCAGGGGGGCTCATCTGCACCCTGAATCTGCACCCCTCTCATCTAGCATGTGCTGATAGATGACTCAGGGTCCATTGCCCTCATGGCTCAGGGATGGAGGTTCTCCTCAAAGGGTAAAGGGCCAAGTGATGGGGCAAGAGAATGAAATGAGGTTCTCAGAGAACAGAAGAGTTCCCTCAGGTGATCTGGAAGGCTCCCTGGAAGAGTCAACACAGTTCTGGGAAGGACAAAGGCCCATTTTGGAAAGCACTTACGACATGAGCCCAGGTCACTGTCCCTAGTTTCTGTTTCTTGGGTACCTTGAGGGCATAACAAGACCAAACTCCAGAGAGTTAATGGGTATGATGTAGGGCAAAGAACAGAGGTTTCAAGGTCAGGCTGACCCAGGTACAATGCCGATTCTGCCATTTCCTTGAACAGTATTGACTTCACCTCTCCAGACTCCAAATTCCATAAAGAGGCAATAATAAATCTCTCCCTTACAGAATGCGTGTGTGGGGACTTTGTGATGTGCCATGGGTTGTACCTGACACATAGTAGGTGCTTAACAGAGGTTAGGCAGCCTTCCTCCTATAAATGGGGCACCAAAGGGAAGGCTTTTCACACCCAGAATTACACCTACTCAGCACCTTGGCCGGCCAGCCTACCACCCTCAGCACCTTGGCTGGC